TCCATGATAACTTATGTATCTATAGTATGGTGGCCAAAGATGAGACAACGGACTACCATTGCAGAATTAAGCAAGGTGCAAAGACTTGCTTGCCTGTCGATAACAGGTGCAATGAAGAACGCTCCAACTGCAGCACTTGAAACCATGTTGGACCTCCTACCGATACAACATGTAGTAATATGGGAGGCGAGAATGGGCTACTCCAGGCTACAGTCACAGACAAAGGGAATATATGAACCCCTGGGACATAACCATATAAGGAAGCATGCGGGAAGTGACACACTCGGTGAGGGGAAGGGCAAAACAGCTCCCAGATTTGTATTCAAAAAGAACTTCGAGGCCAAAATAGGAGATCGAGCTAAACACCGAATTCACAAGCTGCAAGTCGAAATTACCTGGTACACTGACGGGCCAAAAACTGAACAGGGAAAAGTATACCACTTGAAAGACACACCTCTGATTTTCAGGTAGAAGTGTGTGCAATCTTGCACTGTGCAAAAGTAAATAATGAGCAAACGTAAAACAATAAAATAATCGCAAATACACTGAAAGTCAGGCATCGAATTAATTAATCTTGAAATTAGACGCATTCCGGCCACCATAAGGAGTCAGCGCATAGGCCGCTTAAACAGGCGCTTATGCACCTCTGTATTCCTTAGACCTTAAGCCTTACCTTTCTAGCGTAGTTGAGTATGGACTTGAGTTCAAGCTCCTTGACGTCCTGGGAGTCCCCAGTATAGTCTGCCTGTACTAACTCAGATCTTCACAGCGACACAGAACATGCGCCGAGGTCTCTTCGTCTTCCCCGCAGCGCTCACTAAAGGGATCCTAAGGGACGTGCAGGTGGCGCCTTAACGTGTTATGGCCAGACAACAGTCCCAGAGATTGGATCTACCCAAAGATAAGCAGAAACGTCCATCCTTAGCGCTGGGCCCCGCAATCAGTTCCCGTGCCTGACGGAGGTGTCTGGAGATACTTCTCCATTTCCTGCAATCCACTTATTAATTTTCTTCCTAGCTCTTTGCACGGGCATTCCTAAAGCTGGCTCAGGACCAACGAGCTTGCTGTCTTCGGATAAAATTGTTACTCTTCTCCTAGGTCTTCCCCCTCCAAAATGCGGTATACACAAGCCAGAATCGCAGAGACTTCCACCTGGAAAATAGTGGTGTATCCACCAAGAAGCAGAGGTAGCCTATTTCTATTCCCAGAGACTCCGGCGCCAGAGCCCTCTTCGGTGACCGAGCTGTCCGTGTACCAGACTTGCCCACTCACTCCGGAGAGCCTCCAAGCGATATTTAGGGCTAATGAGACACCCCTGCTCAGAAGGTATGTCCATTGACAGGATTCAAGAAGGCCCAGCTGCCGTGACTCCGCAATCGATCTGCGACTACTCTCGCTTCACCGCGGATCACTAGATCCAACGGTGGGAGATCCAGCAGAGCTTCCATTGCACTCAGTGGCGTTGTTTATACTGCACTTGTAATGCCAATACAGGCCAAGTGCTGAATTTTGGCCTCAGTTGCCTCAGTTCCAATGCAAGACCACCAGACCAAGGAGCCGTACAAGCGATATGGAGCCAGTGTACCATTTTGGGTGTTTAGCTCCCAGCTTACACCAACAACACGTCTACAGGCCCACATTGAATTGCGAGCCCTGTTAATCTTGTATACAACATGTTCTCTCCACTTCAGTTTGCAGTCCAGGATTATTCTTAGATATTTTACTAATTGGGATAGAATTAATCTAGTCCAAAAGAAGGTCAACGAGACAAAAAGGCGTAACTCATAGCGTTAAGGAGTCCTAGAGTACATCTGCACTGATCTGGGACTGCCAACAAGGACTGAACACACTGGCGGAACACAACAGGGAAACTCTGATGTGGGCGCTAGGATCTGTGCAAGTGAAACCTGTAGTTATGACTTACCAAATACTGCGAAAGCAGCTAGATACATGGTATTCTTAAAACTGAGACTTATATTCACAGAGCTTATATGTCATAAGCAAATTTTCCTAAAAACACATAAAGCATTGTGTAAAGGATGGTTGGGCCGAGCCAGCTGGACGCTGCAACCAACTTGAGAAGTTATCAGTATCCAAGACATGTGAAAGGGCAGTACTTGAGGTCTCTGTTCAATATCAACTCAAATTTGAATATTCATACAATCACACTACTTTTCTTCTTTATGTTTGAGCCTTCAGTGTTGAAGCGCAGTTTCTTTCTTATAAGTGAATGAATTCACTTATTCTACTTGCTGCTACTGGTAAACCGTACAACGCTAAGCTTTTTGTCGAAAGTCCTTCCAAATCCTATAAGTCTTGCTGAATTTTCTCATATAAAATATTCATTGTTTCCCAAAACTGCTTCATTATGCAACTTAATCGTTATCCAAACAATTTAAGCGAAGCAAAGAGGTGAAAAATAATCACAGAAATGCTAGAAACGTGACTAAAAACTTTATAGTCATCCAGAATCTCCTGGTTGAAATTTGAATTGCAAATCTCTGGCAGCAAGTTCTCATCATTAAAACATAAATGGAAGTCGAATTTCTGCACAAAGTGGCTCGGATTGCGTCCCGCGAACTGAATGGTTATAATTTACAGTTGTGCTGATACTAGGATCTGATTTATTGGAAAGCGAGGATGAAATCGTTTCATTCATTACGAACATACTACCTAAAACACAACGCTTATTTCATGATGCTATGCGTACAAAATGAATCTGCTTGTGACATGTGAATTTCCGACGATATATGCGTCTGATACAAGCTTTTTACGATCACGCGCTTTACTAATAGACGGATAGTCAAAACCAATTCAAAGCTGGTGGTGGAAAACAAGCTGTTATTATGGAGCATTCAAGAGAGCAATACTTTTGTGACAATATTTGGCTATAACTATGACAACTAATAGGCAGCTTGTTCTATTCGTCATTGTCTGTCAGAGCGATCCGTAAATCAGTAGGTCTGTCGGGTGTGGTTGCCCAGATTCCAGACAAAGTCAGAGAGAAAGAAGGGAAGAACAGAGAAAGAAAGGAAGGACGGAGTGCAAAGAGGAGGAAATTTTACATGTATCCTAAAATTAATTTAGAGATTTGTTGTTGTAGAAGAATTGTAATTTTGGTTGGACCTATGATTGCACGATTTATTTTTGTTCATAGTCCTAGCTGCGAACTTGCTCGACTGTGTAGTCTACTAACTCATGCAACAAAGGGTTGCTATGCGATTTCGCTTGACTATAACATAGCTGCGCTCGTTGCCAGAAAGTCTCTCTATCGCTCATTGCGGAATTCGTGAATAGCATTTCTCACTTCATGAACAAGATTCGTCGCTCTGCGACTGCCATCAGAATGGCAAAACCTTTTTTCGTCCTCAATCGCAGCTCTTTTATCAGAAATTTTCTGACTGATGTCTGCAGGGATAATGATAACAAAGCTAATGTGCGGTAAAACAATGAAAACGTAAAAAAGAAATTGAGAAAAAGTAATGAATGTCACAGACAATAATGCAAATGGTACGATTTGCATGCGTACAGCCTTAACGCCAAGCAAGACAAAATGTGTGTTGTACCAAATCGTCCGTTTCCATTGCCCCGATTCGTGATTTGCTTCGCATGAGCAAAATTAAGCTAATCAACTTGCTTGACTGTACGCTTGCCATTTTCATGAGTGTCTGTGCCATGCTTAATTTTATTTTATATCTTGGCTTACAGGTAGTCAGAAGCCCTTGTCATGAGCATAATGAGGTTGGCCTTGAGGTTCATAAGATTCAACTCTTATAGTTATGATTATTCTTAGGCCTATGAAAATATTGTGTAAACCAGCCTCAATTTTAGGGTGCTAACTCTAATGCTTGCTAATAATAGAATATACTTTATGTAAATAGCGATACTACACAATGTCGAATTAGTCTATAAACAAAGATATAGTATTCGCCATACTCATAGTGCATTTCTAAAATGTCGATTACTTTTTAATTATTCGTATAGTTCGCAATATGCGGCTGAATACCGAATACCAAATCATAAGTTTATACATATTTCACCAACAACCATTATGTTGTGATGGATGGAAACAAATATTTTTTCAGCATTTGGTCATAGCAACTGATTCCTCTTGATCTCATAGATTAAACTAGCTTCACAAAAATTCCTCTGACTGTATGAACTTCTATTGACCATATATAATTGTCTGCGAATTTTGACAGATGTGTGTTTTACACAACAGGATAAAATTAAATAAATAACTGTGACATTCATGTCGGTAATACAATGTAAGAAAACAATCTAAGTATCCAAGTTTCGATGCTCCAAACTACTTGGGAGCAAGAGGTGTTTCCTAATCGAATCTCAATATATTTAAGGGGTAGATATTTTAAGAAGAAAACCTCATATGAAGTACGTCCCAAACGTCTTAACTTTTGAGATACAGGGTGATAAAGTCTTAAGATATAAATAATTTGCCATGCCAATGACTTTTCTTAAAATGAAGAAAATTTAAATTTTTATTCATTATGAGCAGACTTGATCTCTTGTATTCTCTAGTCCTAGCTACTGTTTTTACCTAGAGTAATAAAACCTATTTCTCTGCAGGATGATGTCATACTAACGAAGTAGTACATCTATAGGCGTTCTGGACCACCTAAAATAGCATGTGAAATTGTACCGTAAAACTTATAGGCGTTCTCGACCACTACACGTTCTGGACCAAAGTACGTTCTAGACCAGTCACTCTAGACCAAATTACAAAAAAAAAAAAAAACCGTCGTTTTTCAACGCCTTTTTGCCACCATCCCCCTTAGTCGCGCGCGCGCGTGCGCATGCGCATGGGGCTCGTTCTGGCGAGCGTACTACTGGGGGTAGGGGAGGTGAGGGGGTGTAGATAGCAGAGAATAAACGATACGCTGTAAGGAGTTTATCTATCTTTATTTGTTTTTCTCACAGTTACACGTTGTTTTGAATTTAATTGTTTTATATAATAATTCCCCTTTGTCATTATAATGTACCTGTATAGTTATGTTTTTTGTTGGTTGGTTTGGTAGGGCTGACGCTTTTTCCCTTTTATTGCAATGGTAACTTTGTTTTTGTTGTATGTTTTTGGTGGTGGTGGTGGTGGTGGTGGTGGTGGATGGTCCGGGTGCCGTTGATGCAGGTGCCTCCGGAGATGGAGTAGATTCTATTGATTCGGAGCAAATCAGAGAGTTGTCTTCTTCTTCTTCTTCTTCTGAAAGTATGTGATAATTGATGGACTCTGGACAAAAGCAGAAGTGTTTTTGACATTTTAGGCAGTATGCTGTACCGTACTGTGACATTATAACAAATAATGAAAATAATCAAGCTACAACTATATATATATATAATTTGAATAGTGAGTATCGTTTGGTTTGTTTTTTTTTTTTTAGAAGGAAGAGATACATAGTGATAAATTCTTCAACTGAAAACTACTGGGCTATATTTTTCTGAAGAATATATAGGAAAACAAGCCTATGCATAAGCCATCTGACTCATCTCACGTTTTGTGGTAAATTATTGCATCTATAATTACTATTACTCATCGGTTTTTTACCAATCTATATGCAATAATTTACCATAAAACGTGAGATGTGTCAGATGGCTTATGCATAGACTTGTTTTCCTATTTATTCTTCAGAAAATATGACCCGCTAGTTTTCAGTTGAAGAATTTATTACTATGCATCTCTTCCTTCTAATAAAAAACAAACCAAACGATACTCACGTTTTGTGTTTTCAGTGCGCATATAAAATGGAATTGCTCAAATGCGGTGCATACAGTTAATGATTAGCAATAGATGCAGTTGCAGCTTATTTACATACAGGCTTGTAAAGTGCGTGTGAAGTGATTGGAAATAATTTCTGGTAAGTTTTAGTTTTTAACATTGATACAATATTGAAAACTGTACAGTCTGTATTGTGTATCTAATAAATTCCAACAATGCTAGTATTTTAATTTTGTTTTGATTTATTCATGTGACATGTTTCAGTTTTGAGCTTTCGTATTTATATATAGTAAAATACTTTTTGATGTATTGAAAGAGCAAATAGTTAGATGAATGCTAATATATTGATTTTATGTTAACTTCTTGGTAACTTCTATTATTCACAATTTTTATTTATTTTAGATAAACATGGACTTAAGCAAGATAAATGAAATTGCAGCAACGAGTTACACGAGTAAGCCGAAAAAGAGTCTGTACGAGCTACCGCTTAACCAATACCAGACTGTACTTTCAATAAGAATCGTACAACGACGTTTTGAAGAATTCACCACAGTCTCTGACTATTGAGGTTTTGTTTTGGTTTTCTCTTTGAGCAAATTTACCCCAAAAAGAATTCAGCAAAAGTTTAGCTAACGATCTCAAACAGGTTCTCTATAATTTTTGAAAATTCCAGCTTTATGTCCTCTCTATCCAAAAAATGCAACAATATAACGGTTTTTTTCTTCATCCGTTAAGCAATGTTTAGGCCATCCTGAAGCTTGTTGTTTTATTTGTAGAAACTTGTTCATCATTCCGCTAAATAACCCCTCTTGGTCTTTACTGAGCTGAATTGTGTCGTATTCCCATATTTCGTAAGTCTCTATAACCTGGTAACCTTTTTCAATAGCTTTGAGCACCTCTTCTATTACCCAAGTTCCTTTTAAGCTTCTTTCTTGAATAGAATGCTGACACTCTTCTCGAACGAAATCTTCACCACATTTTTGACAGTTAACAAACATCAATTTGTTGTTCATTTTTGACGGTAAAACGGGGTGATATAAGTTCTGGTTCGGTAGAATCTGACATTTAATAAGTCCTGACATCTGCGACAAAGAGGCTGTAACACATTCTTCACCTACGTAAATTTTGTTTGGATGACCCACTGGAAATTTTCCATATTTACAGATGAAGGGGTAAAGGGAACATACGAGTATATCAACATATTTTATGCATTCATTTGTTTTGATCTTGTAGTATTCAACGATATTTTCTGTACGTCCCCCGTAGAGAGCGTCTCTGGGGTTAATCGGTAAATTGATTATCAATGGATGTGCTTCTGTGAATGCTCTAATTTCATCGTTTAGCATCCCTCGAAATTGACATTCCCATATCTCAATTACTTCTAGTCCGAGGCTTCGGAGTCTCTCTACTTTGCTAACTGATTGTTCGTATCGACTTTCTAATGTATTCAACGGATCATTACGCAGAGGATTGGTTCTGTTGTATTTGAAACATTGAGGGCAACCGTGAAAATAGCATCCTTGAAATTCAAACACTTGATTTGTGTCGCTACAAAAACCGTCTACTTTATGTCCCTTAACAATGGTTTCTATACCCTTAGCGGCGTGTTGAATTTTGATTCCTCTTTGATGTTCCTCCCACAACATCCATTGAATGGCAATTTTTGACTGATTTTCACGTCATCTATAGCCTCCTTTTGGAATTACCCCGATCGTCTCAGGTTTTAAAAAATTGCGTCTAAAGACTTTGTTACAGCATGATGCAATAGTGGTGCTTTCCTGGAAGGGATCGACTGTGGTTTCGGTTTTCATCAGGTCTCGAAATTTGAGACACGCCTGTGTCAATATTTCCACGTCGGAGATACAGTATTCAACGATTTCTTTCTGAAAATCAAAAACGTATCCCTCCGCTTGTCTTTCGCCATGCCATTTTAATAATTTTTCCCGAGCGTCTTCTTTTAAATGGTCGGGATCGTAGAAGTTGAGCGCTGGAATTGGGCCTACATAATTCTGATGAGCCAAAGTGTTGAATAAATGTGGAAAGTATCCTTTCTTTAGCTCTTTCAAATCAAACTCCTTGGGTAGAGCAGTTAGAGGCATAGGGAAATAATTGAGAGAATCCAGAAATTTTACATTTCCTACCTCCATCAATATTAATTTTGTTCCTCTCATAATTACATTCTTGTATAGATTAGTCTTTTCTAAAATGTAACGAAGTAGAAATTGGTGATCAAATCCTCCGCCATTATGCGCCAGTACAATAACTTTCTTGAATTTTTTACGAAGTGTCAGAATATGATGCATAAATGGAGAAATGACGTCTTGACATCGAAGAATCTGTAATCGAAGGCCACATTTCTTGCATATAGGATTATCGGTACATGATTCACAACATTGTTTGAATACACATAGATTTGGCTCATGAAGTAAAGATCCATTGGGTAATTCCTTCTCCTGACGGGTTTCCAAGTCGTAAAATATTAATAAAACATCATCTGATTTAGGAATACTTTTGTCAGGCTGTATATAGCACATATGTCCAATTGGCTGATTTTTATGACATGTTTTACAAAGTATATGTCCGCAGATGTGATCATTACCGTTGTGAACTTTAAAACAGTCTACACATCTTTTAATTTTAGAACAGATCGATGGTAAATGAGCGTTAAAACATTCTTGTCCATAAAAGCTTCTATTACATTCTTTGCATTCGAGGTGCTTCGTTTTCAGGCAGGCCGGAGATCTTTTACAAGCATAACATTGTTTATCACATCTATGAATTTGTTTATTATTATACGGAATGTGGCAGTTCTCACAAAAATAGCTGCAGCAAAAGGCAGCAGTCAGGGATGTTATGACGCTGTAGTGCCCCTCGTGATAGATTAGGTTAAGCGTCGGACCAGTGGACACGCCTTCAAAAATGACGTCACGACCTTTGCACCCAAACTTGTATACAACAATTTTGTAGTTTTGCAGATATCGTTGTAGCTTTTGAAGTTCAGGTATTCCACACCCCTCCTCAGGGATAACAATATCAGCCTTTTCCACAAGTTGTACAGCTCTTTGTCCTTGTATTTTTCCTCGATCGATTCGGATTCTACTATAATCTTTGTCTTTGTCCAACTGGGCCATGGCGATGACAAGGGCTCGTGGGAGACACAAATTATCGGTGTTTTTAACGGTGATAATGCCTTTTCTTTTGGCGCATTCCTCATCAAAAGTATTGAAATTCTGACCTCTACCACGACCAGCAGGCAACCTTACGGACGTAACTCCCAAGCAAAAAGTCACGGTATTCAACCCCACAGAATTTGACTGATAGATGGAAGATATCTTCTCCCATATGTCCTCAGTTGAAACGTCGGAAAACGATTTAAAAGCTATCCATCCTTGACCGCGGGTAAAGTCTTTGGAACAGAAAGTGAATCCAACTTGATCACTGGGCTGGAGATGTTCAGTTCCTTTGGCTACTATTTCCTCCAGAGCGTCTTTGATCCATCCCACAGGTTCGACGTCTTTAGGGATAGGTCGTATTTTAAATTCCACTTCTCGCCCATATAGATTAAATTTTTTAATCTTCTTAGTAGACTAGCGTCTAAATCTGAACTGAGTACGTCTGTTCGCCCTAAGGTATACAAGATAACTTCAATGAAAAGGAAATTCTATGAAGATCATACCTCTGTACCATTTGGATTTAAGAAAATAAAATATTGATTTGTTAATGTATGTAAATATTTTTTAATAAACATGTAAAATAAAATGTATGCAAATGATTTTTTGTTTTTTATTTCCCGCCTAATTGAAACTATTTTTGCACCCGAAATTGTTCAGCCTTTTTTACTCCATATAAAAATATTTAAAAGTATGCATTGTTATTATTAAACGTCTACAGTAATATACACCAAAAGATTGAGAAGCAGTATAACCATGTAGAACTTTGTATAATCACAAAAAACATACCTTGGAAAATAAAAAATATAGCAGATCCATAAGCAGTGTAGAGAGGGAACTACGTAAAAGTAATCGATTATTACTAATAAAATAGAGTTTTGAATTCCTATTTTTGCAATAATAATCATTTTACTATTTTACGTGTTGGGCACTGCACTGCACGGGTACCAACACTGTACTGCACGGGCACGAAAAATTGAGAAGCATGATAACCATGTAGAACTTCGTATCACTATGTAAAGAATAAAATGGTTATTACGAAAAGTAGAAATAAAAAAAACTCTATTTTCGATAATAGCTATACTACTTTTTACGAGCACCAACAGAATTGAGAAGCACGATAACCTCGTAGAACTTCGAAACAGCACCAGAGACAACCGAAGGCGCTGGTATCCGATAATACTGTTTCCTTTGACATTCGTTGGGATATGAAAACACATATTTGCTTCCCACCGTTATAACGGATATAATGGTTACTGCAAAAGCAGTTTCACGATAAGACCATACATTAATCTACAAAGTTGATAATAAAACATATGTACTATTAAAATTATACAATTAAAAAATCAAAATAATATGTTATAAATGACAGGGGATACAGGGTAAACACCGAAATATACTTAATTTAGAATAGTTACTTAAAACCTCCTCAGTTCTTTGGTCAGCCGTCTGGACAATTTACCGGTGGGTCCTCTATTTTTGTGCATGTAAAAGGTTAGACTATGGCGCTAGCAAAAAAAACAAAATGCAACAAAGTATAGTCACTTAATATTCTTGTAGAAGTTACGGATAGAATATGGTAGAAAGTAACAATCAGATATTGTAGAAGCCATGTAATTGTTTAATTGTTGAGGAAAAAGTATTTTTCATACGCTGACCATGTTTATGTCCGCTTGGTACGCGACCAGATTTTTTCCAAACCTTTGTCCGTCGGGTTCTTGAGCCGACGACCAAATGTGTCGTCGAAGGGGCATTTTTGATCAAATTCGGTCGAAACCGATGCTGCGTTCGTACCCTAGAGCCTACGGACAGCGACTCAAACTTAATTTTAATTGATTTGCAAAGATCTTGCTAGAATACTTGAGCTAGTGATTATATGCAATTTATCGGTGACGAGCTTTCCTCTAGCATATCTTGATTTATTCAAGCGAATCAATGAGGAACTAGTGAATAAAATTACCTGAAAGCCATAGTACAAGTTGGTATATCTACACCTTCTTCTCTTACATTTGACGCCACTAAAATGTTAATCTCCTTGTTTCTAAATCGATCAAGTACTTGTCTGTTCTTCTTATTAATCAGAAGTGATTCTACGGTGCTATTAAAAGAGTTTCCGTTATATCCCACAACGAAATCCGGCTTTATATGTCTGAACTCTGGTACATGTTCACTCAAATCTTTCAGTACATGGTGCAATATTTTTGGTAGTTGATCTTTCCTTCGTGAATATTAAAGCACAAATTTCCTCGTTTGAATATGAACTGTTGAAAAGTGTCACGTTTATATTAGTATTAATATTTATGAGATTTACTTTTTTTAAAATAGTTAAATATCTACTACGATAAACTGGGAATGTGGAATAAAGCAGAAATGTTTCTGTAACCCAATTTAGGTATGTATAGCAAGTCTTACGCAAGACATTAATAAAACATATATAATTCGAGGGCGATTCTTGGAAGAAAAATTCATAGTATTTCTAAGGCAGAAACTATACTGAATGCAACATCGACCGGAGTGCTGTAATTTTAAGCATACATTTACAAGTTTTAGGTGTAATGATAAATAGAAAGTGATTAACATTTTAACTTCAATTTTCGTAAAATAGCTGAGATATGCCAACTTGCAGTAGCCTGGAATGAAATACCCTACAGGTTATCGATCACCTGATAGTCTGTGGTTCTCCCCGGTAGATAGCGCTACATACAAACGTCATCTGTCAAACGTTATGTGTGTCATTGATAAGTGTGAGTTGTGTCTCTAGCCGCTAGATGCTGTCGATGTTGCACTGGTGTCGTAGAGTGACCCACATACAGGGATCGATAGAAATTTTTGGGGACCCTACCGACGGGCCGATGTACCGGCAGTATATCGTCAGACCGAAATAAGCTCCATTCACATGGTGTGTGTGTAACTGCTCGTGGGAGACACGGACCTTGTCGTATATAGCAAAACGTGTACTAAAATGGAGCTACCCCATTGCTCGCTCCGCCATACAGGTCGGTCAGACAGAAGTTTTTGGGACCGGGGTGCTCTGATTGGTGGATCAGACGGCGGGAAATTTGAATGGTATCGATGGTATAGTTGAATGGTGGACGCCGGGTCGGATGCGTTGGTAATCACTAATCACCTACGTCGCAAATGAGGTTAGATACTCGTTCAGCGCAGGTGTTGTCGTAGCGGTGATATGCAAGAAGTAAACGTCGTTTTTCAACGCCTTTTTGTCACCATCCCCTTAGTAGCACGCGCGCGTGCGCATGCGCATGGGGCCCGTTCTGATGGTGCTGGCGCGGGCGTACTACGGAGGGTCGGGCCCCATGCGCATGCGCACGCGCGCGTGCTACTAAGGGGATGGTGACAAAAAGGCGTTGAAAAACGACGTTTACTTCTTGCATATCACCGCTACGACAACACCTGCGCTGAACGAGTATCTAACCTCATTTGCGACGTAGGTGATTAGTGATTACCAACGCATCCGACCCGGCGTCCACCATTCAACTATACCATCGATACCATTCAAATTTCCCGCCGTCTGATCCACCAATCAGAGCACCCCGGTCCCAAAAACTTCTGTCTGACCGACCTGTATGGCGGAGCGAGCAATGGGGTAGCTCCATTTTAGTACACGTTTTGCTATATACGACAAGGTCCGTGTCTCCCACGAGCAGTTACACACACACCATGTGAATGGAGCTTATTTCGGTCTGACGATATACTGCCGGTACATCGGCCCGTCGGTAGGGTCCCCAAAAATTTCTATCGATCCCTGTATGTGGGTCACTCTACGACACCAGTGCAACATCGACAGCATCTAGCGGCTAGAGACACAACTCACACTTATCAATGACACACATAACGTTTGACAGATGACGTTTGTATGTAGCGCTATCTACCGGGGAGAACCACAGACTATCAGGTGATCGATAACCTGTAGGGTATTTCATTCCAGGCTACTGCAAGTTGGCATATCTCAGCTATTT